AAATTATTCTTGTCAGTTGTTACTTTTGTCCAGTTTTCTACTTTTTTAAAATTCCAAGATATTAAAGGGTACATTGCTTGAGTCAGGGCTATAAATGTGCCATTAACCTGAGTAGTGTTCATTGTACTTATTAGGTAGCTTTTTATCTCATCTCTCTGCCTGCCCCCCGCGCCCCTTGATTTCCAATGACTTTCACTTCCTTTTGTGCAGAGAGTACATGTGGTGTTTTTCCAGACTTGAGATACTTGCTTAGGATAATGGTCTTCAGTTCCTTCCAAATTGCTGCAAAAGGCATTATTTTCATCTCTTTTATGGCTGAATAGTACTCCATTATATAATTGTGTACTGATGATGTTTTGTTATCTTGTATATTTTATCTTGTACCTCTTGTAATTTCATAAGTCAAACTTGTTTATTACAAGTTTAATACAGTTTTTCCTTTCTTTAAATATGTATACTTTTTTTAGTACTCTCTGTATTTAGGATTGTTATGTTTTCTCATTGAACTGCTCCCTTTCCTATTATGTAATGACCATCTTTGTCTTTTTTTCTTTTGTTAATTTAAAGTCAGTCTGACATGAAAGTGAATACACCTGCTCTGTTTTGATTTCTCTTTGTGTGGAATATTTTTTTCCATCCTTTCACATTGAGTTTGTGTGTGTCCTTGTGGTTTAGATTTGTCTGCTGGACATAGCAGATACCTGGGTTGTAGTTTTTCATCCATTTAGCCACACAAAGTCTTTTGAATGGTGCATTAACCTGTTAATATTGAGAGAGAGAACTGATATGTGTGATGCTGTTTTATTCATAATGTTGAGTAGTACCTTACTGTTTTGCTTTCCCTCTTGTGCTGTTGTTGTGTAAGAGTTGTGAGGTTTAGCTTTTGTGGTGTAATTTTAAATTGGTTTGTATCTATTATACTATTTCATGAATAATGCAGTTCTAAGTTATTTCCTTTAGGGAGGTTGGGTCATGACAAATCCCCTCAGTGTTTACTTGTCTGGAAATGAATTTTTTCATTAATTGTGAAACTTAGTTTTGTAGGATACAAAATTCTAGGTTAGCAGTACAAGTGAACCTTTCTAAGAGTAGAATATGAACATTTTGGCACAATAACTAGGTAAATGACATGAAGGCTATGTTAACCAGTGTGATGAAATGTTTCAAATTGTATGTGAAAACAC